ATACACTAAACAATCATTTCTTCATATTATATAATCTTCAAAGAGAGCGAAAGATTCTGCGAGATAATTTATTCCACTACTACTGAGGTGATGAGTCACATTTGGAAGATGAAAAGAAGAGAGGAGAGGAGAGGAGAAAAGGAAGGAAAAAAAGATTTAAAAACAAGAAGAAAAAGAGAAAGGAAAAGAAGATAGCAAAGAAGCCAACACCTAAAAGTTTCCTTTTTCCTCTCACCAAAGCCTGCACAGGAGTCATGCACCTCCACTGGGGATATATTGTCACAAAAAATAATGAGTAGGTTTCTCCACGTTTTTAACAATAGACTTATCAGGACAGGTGAAAGGCAGATTTAGCAGACTTGGGATGTAAGCCTATTTAACTCACTTGGTATTGGGGTTAAGGAAATATAACTTCTTCACAAATGCTGTTTACTTGGTAAACCATGCATTTGCCCATTCATTCTATAAGAAAGACATCATGATGTAAGGGGAAAACAGGGCGAAGAGCTCCTGCTTATGTCTTTTGTTGCTAACTGGTCTCAGGTTCATCCTGCACAATGCATTGGATTAAATCATAACTTTAGCATATCACCCAGACTCTTTAATAATATATGACATATATATTTAAGTTTTTCTAACAGCATTTGATGTCTTCACCATTACCCTTAAATAAATATCCCTAATTTTTTTATGTCTCATTTGACATCTGTCTTTTTAAAAATAATCTCAATTTTATTTGACTTCTCCAAGGTTCTTAAGTTGGTATTCTTACCCTACACTCTGCCTTGCTTTTTTTCTTTGTAAGGGACACAGCACCATATAAGTGTATAATAAACCTACTTTTCCTCCTTGGGTTTCTTCTTTATACTCACACTACTACCACCCTCATTACACTTCTGACTCCAGATATATGGGTTTTCCCACACCAAGAAATGCTTTGTGACACCGATTGGTTGTCCTGGAATTCACTTCAATCTAGCACTAACCAGAGTTATTGTAGACCCCACACGTTAAGGGCTCAGTCCTAGGAGACTGCCCCTCACCTACTGCATATGTCAACTGCAAGTTGTAGGTCCCCAGGTTTTCCACAACCACTCTGACAAATATGAGACAAATCAGAGATTCTTATGGCCTCACTTTGGATTCAGATTTGATTGTTTGCTAGGAAAGTCACAACACTTAGGGAACCACTTACTTTCATTTACCAATTTATTGTATGATAAAAGACACATACAGATGAACTGCCAGATGAAGATACAAAAGACAAAGTATGGTAGGGCTCTAAGCACAAGAGTTTCTGTCCCTGTGGAGTTGGGGTGCATCAAACTCTTGGTTTGTGGATATGTTCACCAAGACGGAAGCTCCCCAGACCCCAAAACTTTGGGAATTTTATGGAGACTTCACCATGTAGGCATGATCCATTATTGACCTAATTTCCAATCCCTCTCCCCTTTCTGGAGGATGAGGGTGAGGCTAAAAGTTCTAACCATCTAAACAAGGCTTGGTCTTTTTAGTGACCACCAGGAACCCACCAACCATTGCCTCATTAGAACAAAAGATACCGCTGTTGCCCATGAAATTCCAAGAACTTTAAGAGCTCTGTGTCAGGAACCAGTGTCAAAGACCAAATATTATAACTAAAGATGCCAGCAACTGGAGGACAGATATACATGTATGTGTGTGTATGTACATATTTTCTATTACTTCACAATAAGAGATTCAAGCAAATCACAGACTACATTGCTTTGGCATCCCAAACAATGCCAAACCATCTTCCACCTCGGGCATAGAACATAAGTAAACATCTCTGGTCTACCATCTTTTATTTTCCAGACTTCCTTACTTCCACTGCCTAATTTTTGTTAAGGAAGGATAAGTGGAAGGACTGAATGGGAAAGATAACTCCTTAGGTTAAAATGCACACACACACGCACAGACACACATGCACAGCTACACACACATTCACACATTCAAACTCACATATCCACAACGGTGATAATATGTACCTATCGTTCTTCTAACTCTGAACATATTAATGTTAAATAAATGTCACATTTAAATTTTATTTATTCTTTTGGTTGGCAGATTCTCTTTCCATATGCTTTTTAATTTTTTTCACTATTACATATTAAGATGAGCCATTCTAATATGCAAAACTGACATCTCATCCTTTGTGTATTCAAAACTAAAAATCACATCTTTAATGTCAGAATAGATAAGGATTTAACAAAGTAGTTTCATCCATTTAGTTTCTTTTAAATTCTTGACTAAATTAATTTTTAAAATATGAAGCAAACCTTCAAAGTATGTGAATTAAATAGATTTCTGTTCTTGTGGGTGATGCAGGGGGTGGGAGGGTGGGGATGGAGCTAATTCCATGTACGCTTAATGGATTTTAGAATCAGATATATGAGCTTGGAGAAATCTAGCAATAGACATAATATAAGGCTGCATAATTTCCTGTGGCAAATTTCAAGTTTTTCAATATTTATTATACACATTGTTTAATTTAATTTCTAGTTTTAAAATGAATGTTATGGACATTTTCAGATATATACAAAATAGAGGATAGAGCATAATTGATTTGTATATTTTAATCAAATCAAAGCCTTTTTAGTGCTTTATTTCATTTGTTTTTAGTAAAATACAATTCAGTGTGTTTATAGAGAATAAAATGTTCTCGTACTTGAAGTTTTTGGACAGCAAATAAGTATCTTGCAGAATTACTTTTGATAGCAGTATTAGTAAGTGCCTAATATGGAATTTAACTTTCCTTTAAAGGGAATATGAAACCACTGGGGAGATTTTTCAAATTGGTGAAAATTCAAGTCTATATATAAATAGAGTCTGAAGAATTGAAATGTTTGGTGTAAATTTAAAAATTTTAAATTGTGGATATTTGAAGTTGCTTTCATTTTTTCCAAAACCTAAGAATTAAATGAACATTATTTCAACTTACTGTTGAATTTTATTTAAATTACCAACTAAGAAAAATGTACTTCAGAACATCAGAACATAAAAATATAAAAAGGAAGCAGTATCATAACATTATAATTTAATCATTTAGTCTAATAATCTTTTTTTTAATGTTCATTTATTTGTTTTTGAGAAACAGGGAGAGGCAGAGAGAGATGGGAACAGAGGATCCAAAGTGTACTGTCAGCACAGAGCCGTCACAGGGTGGCCTTGCGGGGGGGTGGGGGGCGGGCTCAATCTCACTAACTGTCAGATCATGATCATGACCTCAGTCAAGGGTTGGTTAATCAACGAACTGAGCCACCCAGGCACCCTATAGTCTAATAATCTTTTAAACATTAATAGACATTGAGACACAGTTTCATCAAGTTTTAAAAACAAAATACAGAAACGCCTAAAATACTGAAAGTATGATACAATACATACAATATACAACTGGTATTACAATACATGCTAATTTGATTTTCTATGAGGCTGTATGTCATAGTATTATTGTGTATTAAAGTGTACCTATCACAAATTGAAAACATGAACTTTTTGATTCTTTTACACTAGTTTGAAACTTGTTTGGTAAACTGGGAGATGGAAAATTCCATAGTCTAAACCAGTTTTGAGAATGAAGAAAATTTTTATAGAAAGCAATCCACTAAAAATCAGAGTCACCCATCAAAAAAGATAGAATAATGGAAAATTATGTCCTTTTGTGTTAAAGTCATTTGGAGAAGATTTTTTGTTAATTGTCTCTACATTCTCTTTCTTTTGAACTAAAGAAAATGATAGGGAAATAGAACATGTGATTATTGGATAAAAGTTAATGATGAATAAAACAATAAATTAATAAAAATACAATTTTAATTTCAATTATAGGAGCAAGTCAAATTTAGAATGTGCTTTAAGACAGATACGCCAAAGCTTTCCTTTTCAACTAGGCTTCCTGGCCTCTCAGTAGAGGGGTCTGAGGATGGTTACTCCCATTTTGTTCTTTCTTCCATAGCTCCTCCATCACTTTCCTTCTAAGAATACTGTTATGGTGAAGAAGGCCAGGTGTCTCCCTGCAACTTCAGAAAAGGGTATGTTATTATAAAGGAAAATCCTGTAACAACTATATACTTAAAATCATTCCCTCAGCTTGGCACTCCAGATACTTAACAGACACTTATGAGCATGTTTTGCAGTTCCAACCCATACACAAATATTTGATTTTCTAATTCTTTATGTAAATAATGTTTGCCAGCCCTATAGAAGCAACCATTATCGTTATTAACATTTGACACTAAAACTTTCTTTCTTAACTCTCTTTTTTAAGTTTATTTATTTATTTTGAGAGAGCAGTGAGGGAGGGGCAAAGAGAGAAAGGGAGACAAAGAATCCCAAGCAGGCTTCTTCTATGCTGTCAGCACAGAGCCTGATGTGAGTCTTGAACTCACCAACCCATGAGATCATGACCTGATCCAAAAAAAATCAAGAGTGGGATGTTTAACCAACTGAGCCACCCAGACATCTTTCTTAAGTCTCTTTTCTTGAGATGACTAATTTGAAAAATGATCTCTGTCTGTGACAAAATGAAATAGGATTCTGTGTTCTTGAAATCATGAAAAAAAAAACTACTCTAATAGTAAAAACCTAGACTGTAAACTTCAAGCTATTTTTAGTATATTAACACACTAAAATTATCTTTGACATGTATGTTTCTTATATATAAGCATCTATATCACATAAACATTTATATTATATTTCTGTCTTAGTCATTACATTTCTCTTTTTTATTTTTTCCAGATAATGTTTAAAGGATTCTGCATCAGTCTTTGGTATTGGACGTATTCAGAATCTCTTCTTCAACTTTTGCTGTCCTGGTCCATTGCCTTCCAGCTTTAACTTACTTGTGATCCCTTCAAACATTTTACATGGTTTGCAATGGTTACATGAACTTTTGGAAAGTGATATTTGCACCATCTCATATTTTATTCACAATGGCACTTTAGGAAAAGAAATTGGAAAAAGCTTACAAAGCAGTATCTTAAAAAATGAATCTTATTGTGAAGCTTCGGAGAAGTTTTCGAACATTGGTTGTTCTTTTAGCTACCTTTTGCTTGGTGAGCATTGTCATTTCTGCCTACTTCCTCTATTCTGGCTATAAACAGGAAATGACTCTTATTGAAACCACTGCAGAAGCAGAGTGTTCTGACATCAAAATTCTGCCATATCGGACAATGGAGCTGAAAACAGTTAAACCTATTGATACATCCAAAACTGATCCTACAGTCCTTCTATTTGTGGAGAGCCAGTACTCTCAACTTGGTCAAGATATCATGGCTATCTTGGAGTCTAGCAGATTTCAGTACCAAATGGTCATTGCCCCCGGCAAGGGGGATATACCTCCTCTTACAGATAATGGCAAAGGGAAATATATTTTAGTTATTTATGAAAATATTCTGAAGTACGTCAGCATGGACTCATGGAATCGAGAGCTTTTAGAAAAATACTGTGTGGAATACAGTGTTAGTATAATCGGTTTTCATAAAGCCAATGAGAACAGCTTTCCAAGTACACAATTAAAAGGCTTTCCATTAAACCTTTTCAATAATCTAGCTCTAAAGGACTGTTTTGTCAACCCTCAGTCTCCTTTGCTGCATATTACCAAAGCCCCCAAGGTTGAGAAAGGCCCTCTTCCTGGGGAAGATTGGACTATTTTCCAATATAATCATTCAACCTACCAGCCTGTGCTTTTAACTGAATTACAGACAGAAAAATCCCTTTCATCCTCATCCAGCAAACCGCTCTATGCGACGGTGATACAGGACTTGGGGCTTCATGATGGAATTCAGCGAGTTCTTTTTGGCAACAACTTAAACTTTTGGCTACACAAGCTCATCTTCATAGATGCCATCTCCTTCTTGTCAGGGAAGAGGCTGACACTGTCCTTGGACAGATACATGCTTGTGGACATTGATGATATCTTTGTTGGGAAAGAGGGAACAAGGATGAATGTCAAAGATGTAAAGGTAAGAACATTTATAAATAACATCGTAATTTTTATTTCACTAACTGTGGTATTGATAAAATATAATTTTGAATATTTTAGATTCTTAGTTACACAAGTTTTCAGATGCAGTATGTTTGAAATAAAATAGGCATCAAAAAATCTTGAACTAAGCCTTAACTATTCCTCACACACATACCCCAGATGATTTAGAGGAGATAGAACGACAATATCTCAAATATTTGAACTTAATTTCCTTGCCTCTTCTTAGGCCTTACCCAAGATCCCTGTAGAACGGGCTTCCTTATCCTATCACATGTTGCAGTTTGTAGCAGTGAGACTCATATAGTCATAAAACTCCATCCTTCAACTGGTCCCCTGTTCTACTTGGGTTTAACAGTGGTGGTTGAAATACAAGATGGAGGAGTACCTTTTATAACTTCAAGACCTTTTGTAACTTCAAGTAAGCACAGTGTTTGTTTACAGGAAGTATTAATATACTTGTAAATACAGATATGAGCAAAAATATAGTTTTATAGAGGATGTGTTTTGGACCTGGACTCAGAATAATAATTTATCTCTTTTATAAATTTATCATATTATTTTGGGTAACACAACAGTGTTTGACTATATACCAAATTCATCTTGCAATTGTTAATAGATAAAGAAAAAGCCAAATAAGGTATACTAGGTTAGGTAAGTGATTCTAAGAATAATCCCTTCCTTTCTTTATCTTGATTCAATATTCTCAGTTTTACCTATCTTGTCCTGTATGTAACTAAATTCATTTTTGGACAAATAAGTGTAGCAAACTATAAACAGAAATAATAAGACACAACTTAAAATTGTAAGATAGCTTAAGATTATTAAGATCATATCATGATTTTTGAATTCCTATTAGACTTTTTATCCTCCAAAGATGAAACCTCAATACTACTTCAAAATGATGGCATTTTCCCTATCCTAAGACCTTATCATCATGTAGTAAGAAATGATTAAAACCAGTAAAGTAAGTTCACTATTTAAAAATGTTCAAAGTACATGTGAACCAGTGAACTCTATTTTTAATGATCCACCAAATGAAGCATCATTTGACTGGTACCCAAATATTTCATTTTGGACATTGTTGTAAAGGGATTAAATGATGCCTCTTGAGTTCTGTCTAGATTTTTCTGTTTTTTTCTTACTTGTTTTGTATTTACTATTCTTTTAATTAATATAAATTCTAAGTTTTTTATTTCAAAACCATAAACTTAAGGGGTTATATGTTTCAAAAGTTTCTCAAGTGATTCCTACCTGAAACTCTAAAAGGAGAGGGTTTCCTAATTTTAATTTAACAAAGTATATGAATTGAAAATGTTTTTATAACTCTAACGAACTTTTCCAGCCCAAATTCCACTATTTCACTTACTTTCAATAAAAGCTTACAAATAGCAATTCATTACTATATAATATTCACTGATGACTTCTTAAGTGGCATAACCCCAAACAATAATAAAATACTGAAATTTAGCAAAAGCTGGAACAATGTCAGAGGCAGAGAGAGGATCAAAAGATTTTATGTTTATATGTATACATATATTTACATATATGTATGCTGTATGTATATATAGAGAGATAGTCTGTGTATATATATAGTGTGTATCTGTATATATACACATATACATAGTGTGTGTATATATATCGTATATACATATAGTGTGTGTATGTATGTGCACATGTATCTTAATTATACACTACACACACACACACACACACACACACACACACACACACGTATGCACACACACTCACACCCTGACTGTCACTTTGAAGAAAATACTTTTACCTACCCCTTTTGTTGTTGCTGGTTCTTCCTCAGAGCTATTAATCAAAGAATATCAGAAACTTGATTGGTTATAACTCTCTCAGTTACTTAAAGATCAAGAAGAAATACAATTTTCCAAGTATAAAAATTCGAGTCCCTTGTCATTTGTCCTTGTCATTTGATTTTTATTTTGGCCTTATTTTTTGGATAAATATGATTTTGTGGAAGAAATTTTAAATTATGTGTAGAAAAGTTCTCAATACTCTCATGTTCTTCACTCATATGTTACTTTTCTGGTACTGTAGCATTTGATCTCATACTTTGGTAAAGATGAGGAGAAATCCATCCTCCTTCAAACTCTGCCCAAATTTTCTAAAGCAGGGATATTGCACGCCTGCTGACATTTTTCTCTATTATGCTGAAATCAAGAGTAGTGGTATTCTGTTCCTCAACAGAACACATTTAGGAAAGCTGGAGAGTTGTGGTTGAAAATCCTTGTTCATGTAGATGACTGGACTCTTCCTTGGCCATTCGCACGATTAGACCTGGAGCATTAAACACCAAGCTCAAACATACCTTTGCCTACAATATCACCTTGCTTGACAAAAAATATATTAGTATATATTAGCTTGAATATATTTTCTCATTTTGAAATAGAGATTCTGGATCATACCGTTAAAGAATTAGCATTGTTAAGGTACAGCATTTGATCCAATGAAAAGAACACAGGTTTTTTGTTTTTTTTCTAACTGAACTTGAAAACCCATGTTCTTTTCACTACATGGTTCTCCTTGACCTAAGCTACCATAGTTCTAGTTTCTTTTAGAAACTAGTGTATTATATCTGATTTCATTGTGTTTTCCTCCAACCAAAGCCACTGAGATAGAAATCAGTATGTTCGTTTACAAGGCAAGCAACATTATGCTCAGGCAGGTGCAATAACTATCATCTAATTGCTGCCAAAATTTTATTGTATTTATAAAAACTTAAGAGGGGAACCTGGGTGATTCAGTCACTTAAGCAACCCACTCAATTTTGGCTTAGGTCATGATCTCACAAACTGAGCGTACAGCACAGAGCCTGCTTGGGATTCTCTCTCCTTCTCTCTCTGTCCCTATCCCGCTCATGCTCTCTCTCTCTCTCTCTCTCTCTCTCTCTGTCCAAATAAATAAACTTGAAAACAAACCCTCAAGATATAAGAAGAAAAATTATTCATGTATATAATCTTCTAGAATTAGACTTCAAAACTTTGTGAAATATTAGCAATCAACAAAAGTCAGAAAATATGGTCATGTTTTGACTTGGTAATATTTCTGTGTAATATTCAAGGCAATCAGAAAATATTCTTGTACATATGAGGTTCTATTAGCAGAATGACCTCAGGCTATTTTGAGTGGTGTCTTAAACACTTGAACCTATTTTTCCCTCGTTTTAAAAACAAAATTGTTTTTCATAATGGCCTTAATTACATGTATGTAAACATAATGGCCATCTTGATTATTAAAATTTTAATTAAAAAAATTTCTTGCAGTCAACTAATTTGATTTCTATGGGAAATGGTTTACCCTTGGTTGGAACATTTGGTATAGTCAGAGATGGTTAGTAGAATTAAGATAGTATGTTCTTTTTCATAGTTTCCTAAGACAGAATAAGTGTTTTTTTTCTTTTCGCAATGAGGGCTTTAAAAACATTGACATGGTAAATGTAGGCTTCCACATGGACAATGAAAGCAGATTTATTTCTAATGCTACCAATAATTTTGGTGCCTTAATCAATTCTGTGACCTGTTGTTGTTTTCTCTGTTGGCAATACAACATCATTATTAGCATTTTTATGTGTCTTTACACTTTTTGAGGAAATTCATTTATTTATTTATTGAACATCTACTGTATATGAGACTATATTTAAAACATTATCTGCCTAATAAATCTAAAATTCTTATTTAAAGTTCTATATGATCAGTTCAGTTTACTTTTCAATATTTATTTGTAATACTCTTCAAAACACCCTGCTTGTATTAGGCTAGCGTCAGTCTACCCCTCAGCTGTGGCTTGCTCATCTATCTTGACCTCTCAGTTTCTGTGCTTTGACTAAAATATGTTCCCTGAAGTAACCCATAATTCAAAAGATATCTTAAGTCCTACTTCTTACGAGAAGGTGACACATGTCCTAATGACCCTGGTAGATGCTGATTTCTTTTTAAATTGAGTTCCCTGAATAATCACTGACCTTAACTCTCTCTTAGCATCCTCATGGGCCAACTCCAACATTAGACAGTGAGACAAGTTTTCTCATACATGTACTTATCAGAAAGTGCATAATAAGGAAGCTTAGACATGATTTGAAAATATTTTATTGACAATTATTACACTGTCTTTAGCTGTTTGGTGAGTGCAGGACTAAATTAGTCATAGAATTGATTTACTACATTAAGAAAAATAATTCGAGTAGTTTTGAGTTTTGTCTCAAAACAAGTTGTACATTTCAAGTAGGGGGCAGAACTCAAAAACAAATCTATGTTGTAAACATGAAGTCTAAAATAAATGGTTAGCAAGCTAATTGTTTTTTTTTCCCATTTTCTCTTTCCTCCCCACCCCCCGCATCCCACAGTGTTTTTAATGAATCTGTACCTAGACTAATGTTAAGGCTTGATCCAGATAAAAAAAATTTAGCAATATCTTAACCTGGATGTTTTCAGGCATTTATTTGACTACATATTTCCTGAATTGAAAACCATATGTTTAAAAATTTAAAGTGCAAATGAAATTATGCAAATTGAATGACTGATACTTGAAAGATGTTAAGTTAATAAATATAAAGGAGACAATTAATAAAAGCTCTTACAATACAGGTAAGTGATTTCTGGTTAGGTCCAATAGCTATTTGAAAGTCTCTTTTACACAAGAAAATGATACAATGAAAATATTTGGGCAATTCCTTTCTATTATTAATGTAAATGTTTAAATAAAATCTCAAGTCAAACTTTTGTAGGAATTATCGCATTTAACAGGGACAGGTTGCTATGAATAGGAACAAAGAAGAAAATTTCAAAATCTTGATTAATTATTTGAATATGGGTTGGAAGAGAAAAGAAAAAAAAACCTTGTGATTTCTAAAGTTATGATCTAAGAAAATAAGAAAGTATTGATGCTATGAATATCAACACAAAAGATGAGAGGCTATATTAATAATTGAAAATATTAGTTTTCTAACAT